TATTTCTTTTTTATTATGTTTAAATGGTCAAGTTTATATTAAATAAAAAGGTAATTTGGAGTTAGTAATATATGCAAAATATTAATTATTACATTAAAAGAGGTCATTTAATATTAAAAAATATTTTAATTTAATAATTAATATTTTTCCGTTTAATGCAAGACACAAACTTTATAATGAATTATTTATGATTCACACCATTGGGAATCACAATTATGGTGAGACTTTTGGTTTGGAAATGAAAAATGCAACGGTGGCGTTTCTCTAAGGAAACTATGATTATTTTGCAATTCACTTATGAAATGGAAGAAAATGTCCAAATAAGAATATTAATTATATATTTTTTATTTAAAAATATTAATTTTGTTAAGATTTAATAAGAACGTTAACTTTTAGTTTTTTATTTAAATATGTTAATTTCTAAGTTTTTTCTATTTAAAGATATATTAGAAATTTATATTAATGTAGTAAATAGATTTTTTTTTTAATTTTGGTTGCATAATATGAGGCAATTATTTTTTATCCCTTGTTCTACTTTACCCACATATCATGCGAGTTGTATTCAGAATCCCTTATTTCTAGTTAAAAAAAATAATTATTGAATTATTTAAATCGTTAACGTAATAAATAAATTTTTAAATAGAAAAAAATTAAAAAATGATATTTTTAAATAAAAAATAAGTTTATAATTAATATTTGTATTTAAAAATTTTAAAAATTAATATTTTAAAATAAAAAATAAAAAATGAATATTATTATTTATACTATTTTTCTATTAGATGCCTAACAGATACTCAAAATATCTCAATAACATATTGTAATGGTAGTTCAATTATCCACGCGCCACAAACTGAGAGTGAGGTTTAAGTGTCCACGATTATTGACGTTGTGGGACCCGGAAGAGTGCAGGGGGGCCCCGACAAGATGTCTGGTGTCCCCACCAAGGTAATGATAGCTGTCCCCACGTGTCCCCATTTAGAATTCCAATTCAATAATGGGATCTCCCCTTTCACTACCCGACAATGCCAACCCGTACGAGTCTCATTTCCCATCCATGTGACTCGCACGTGAACTCGGCCCCTCTTGACAACCTAATTTACCGGATTTATTATTATTATTATTATTATTATTATTATTATTATTTTTGTAGAAACCCGGATTTAATTTGAAATTTGTGATCTTATAATGTCACAAAACCAATGAAATTTGGAAGGGT